CCCCAAAACCCCAAAACCCCAAAACCCCAAAACCCCTCAATCTGCTTAAAAAGCTGAATTTAAATTTAAAATTATAAGATTATTTTATTTTCAAATAAAATCCAAGATGAACCCTCAACATTCTTTTGGATACAATGGGAGTAAATTTGCTATTGTCAATGAGGACTCTTTTGCGTACATCTCAGCGAACTCGGTCTGCATATGGAATACAGCCACGAATAAGAAAGAGTTTATCTCAAACAAGAATGGATATACCTGCGTTGCTGCGAATTATATGAAGGGATTTATTGCCGCTGCAGAGTATGGACTTAACCCTAATATTCATATTTATAAGTATCCTGGAAACCAACTTGTTGCTAAGTTCCCAGCAGAGACTAAGATCAGGTGCCAGGACCTTGAGTTTTCCAGAGATTGTACTAGATTGCTGATGATTGGAGACAAGCCTGACTATAAGATTTCAATTTATAACCTCGAAGAACAGAAGTTCCTGACTCTAGATGAGAAACTTGTCGATAAGCAATATCTGACATGTGGATTTAACCCCTCTGATCCAAACCAGTTCTTTGTGTCAAGTCCTGAGAACCTGGTGTTCTACAACGTAATCACTAATTCCTATAGAGAGGTCGTTGAAGATGATCAGAAGAGGATTGAAAAGTGCGAGAGATGCAACCATATTATCTATAAGCCTCCTACTGAAGATACTATCTATAAGGATATTATTTGGGATCCTTATTCCAAGCTATATATCGCAACTGACCAGAGGACCCTCCATCAAGTCGACTTTAATGGTAATTTTTGGATTTGCAAATTTGAACTTAGAAGTTTAAGAGACATTCTAAACTTTTCCTTTTGTATCTTAAAAATGAGTGGTGATAGTGATAAAATTTCTAGAATAGCATTCTACAATAACATCTGCACTCTATTGATGGCTTTACTTCAATAAATTTAAAGAGGATTTTGGTGACTATAAGTAGAATACCACAAAATAACAACACTTGAACAGTGAATAATTTTAAATATAGGAGAAGAGAAGATGAAGATAACTCTAGAAGATGTCCCAAGAAGTTTGATTCTTACTCAAAAGCATTTGATTGTTGCCCTTGACAACAATAAACTACTCTGGTACATGGCTCTGCCTCCAGAAGAAACAGCCCAGACTCAGCACCTTCTTTTGAAAGAAAAGTTGATCCAGCTTCGTAATGAAATTGACAAGAACTACTTGTTCGAAAATGGAGGCATCAGACACATGAAGTATACCAAGAACTTCAAGAGAATCATCATTGGCTGCGATGACGGGTTTCTGTCACTTCTTCCGTTGGAAGCAGAAGCTTACAACTACGAAGACGAAGAAGATGACGATGATGGAAGCGTCAAAGAAGTGAAGACAGTACAGACGCAGCTCATGGAACTCGGAAAGTTCCACACTGGAGCCATCAGTGGAATCAAAGAGTTGGGAGAGACCACCCAAGTTGTCACTGTCGGGGAAGACAATCTTGTATGCATCTGGGAGGCAACCAGCGGAACTTGAGTCTACAGGGAACAACTCAACTGCAAACTCACCGCGCTTGAAGCGAGCGAAGATGGAAGCAAGATATTCATCGGATCTGATGGTGGAGTTGTGCGGATTTATGATATTTCGAACAGGTGACTGCCTCGACTCGTGAAAGTGCACAAGCTCTTCCACTCTGCTATCTCGAAGATCACCATATCTTTCGACCAGAGAATTGTTGCTGTGAGTTCGAAGGAATCCAAGGAAGTGTGCTTCTTCTACCAAAGCGAGAAGCATAGCTTCCAGTTTATGTGTTACCTCGAAGGCAGAGCCAGAATTCGGGATATTTGCTGGAATATCAAAGACAGAGAAATGAGGATCCTGTGTCTGCAAGAAAACTGTGTGTTATTCTCTGCTCGAGTGAGCGTAGGAGATGTGTCGAACATCAGGGAGCCTTTGCCTGAGGACGTGTCATTTCCATTGTACAGCAAAGTAGACCTCGGCTCATACTCAATAAGCAGTGACCCCGAGAGTGGAGAAATATATGTAGCTAACGAAGACAAGTTCTTGAAAAAGTACGAAAGCCCTGGACACAAATACCACGAACTGAACTTTGACAAACCAGCAAGTGCTCCTCTGGAAGAGTTCCAGTCGCACGGAATCCGCACAACGTGCTTCGATTACTCTGATGAAGCTGACTTCATGGCTACTGGAGGCAAAGATGGAAACATCATCCTCAGAAACAGAAGAAGGCTTAACCAGTTCAGCGAAGTAAAAGCACACGCTGTATTCAACGGGGGAGTAACAGCCCTCTGCTTCTCAAAGAAGAGAACCACTCTTTACACAGCTGGCGGTGATGGAACATTCCTAGTGTGGCCAGTTGGAGCCAAGCCTAATCCCAACCAGTCGGTTGAGCCAGCAGATTTCTTCTCGTCACCAGACCTGAGCAATATCCCTCAGATCGACAACGAGACTGACGACTCAGTGAAGTATTACAAAGAACTATTACAAGAACAGTTCTTAGATTCTGAAATTCCTCGCAAGAAAGAGTTCAAAGCTGAGATTTCGAAGGAACTCGAAGACATCAGGAGTCACATCGTAGACCTGGTCGAAGACAACAGGAAAGCCCAGGAGATCGAACAGCTTGAGAGACACGAATTTGTGATTGATGTCAAGAAGAAGCAGTCAATGGAACAAGATGGATGGCAGCAAAGGCAACTCATCACCAAGCAAGCCAAGCGTAAGCAACTCGAATACGAGTGTCTCAAAGAAAGAGTCAAGTCCGCAACTTGGAGCACCATGGAGACTCACTCTACAGCCTGCATTTCATTGGACAGTGACTTGCTGCTGTACAACTATGGAATCAGACTGAGGACTCCTCTTGAAAAGAAAACACTCAACAGAGTGCTCCATTTCAGGAGAATGGAGTTGAGACAGCAGATCACTGGAATGGAAACACGGGCCAACAAGATCCTTGACCAGAGCTTGTTCTCGAACCACGATGAAACCTACATTATGAACAGAATACGTGGAGTCCAGCATTACGAAGTTGACGAGGAAGCTCCCATCATTACTCAAGCCAAGAGTGCGACCAAGAGAAAGAACAAGATTGCTCAGCAAGAAGCCTCCAAGTCTACAGCTGACGGAGCATTGAAGAAGGGCAAGAGAAAACCCAAAGTTGACTTGAACCAGTTCCGCCTCGGAGCCAACAAACCCAAGCTGCTTGACGAAGACGACTTCGACGACAAACTCAAAGACAGAGCCCAGAACAGAGACGAGTCCAACATTGCAGAGTTGAGGTGGAAGATTGTCACCAAGAAGAAAGAACTCGAAGACCTCAAGAAAGACATCCACATTCTCGGATCATGGGACTTGCTGTACGAACCCTCTGACCTCTACACTGATGGAAGAAAGAAAATGCAGATTGAGATGCTCCAAGACGTTGTGTTCGCACTGAAGCAGGAGTACAACAAAGAGTTTGAGCGTTTCCAGAGGTTCAAAGATGACCAGATATTTGCCATCCAAGAGAGAAGTAACCGCATCACTGAGATCTTGGAAGACTTAAAGAGAGAGGAAGAGCTGTTCCATCCGAGAACTCACCCTCTGGAGACTCCTGCAAGCATCCTTGAGGTCAAACCAGAAGAGGTCACAGTTCAGAAATATCTTACTGCTGAGGAACGAGCTGTTGAAGATGAGAAACACAGAATCGAACAAGAACGACTTAAAGCTCTCGAAGGTGACAACGTCGGTCAGCGAGGAATCAAGAACATGCTTGGAGGCACCTACGAACTCAAGAAAAACAAAGGCATCATGGAGGAAACCCTCGAGAGAGAAGAGTGGATGAGCAAGCCCATAGAAGACATGACTGAAGATGAGAAACTCAAGTTCAAAGAGTTCCAACAACGAGAGAAAGAACTCCAAGAAGAAAAAGACAAAAAGAGAAAGGCTTGGGACCAAGAACTCAAGAAGAACAGAATCGAAATTGAAGAGATCTGTTTCAAATTTGAAGATGAACTCAAGAAAATTCATAAGAAGCGCCTTTACTATGATATGAGAGTGTATGAGCAAGAACTCTACATCATCAGACTCACTTTGATGCTGCATGAAAACAAAGAAATTAAACAAGAAGCCGCACTCATTGCAGAGAAGAAAGACAAACTTGAGCAAGAGCTAGTTGAGTCCAAGAACACCATCAACAACTTCCAGCGGATGTACGAAGACTTCGACTCAGAGTTCAAGGCCAGCAGTGCCATCGCAGAGCAAGAGAAGGGTCTCCGAGACTTGTTCCCTAACGCTCCGTTCAGACAAATCCTGGCTTTTGTGAGGAACGGAGGCAAGGCAGCCAACAGAGCCAGAGGCTTCAGAGGCCAGACCGAAGAAAACACTCTAGAACAAGAAGCGTTGGCACTGCTCTGCAAACTCGACCCCTACATTATTGTCGATGAGAACGCTGTCAAAGCTAAGTTTGAACAAGAAAATGTTAAAGAAGAATACTCTTATGATCGAGACAAGATCGTCAACCTGACTCCCGGAGAGTTCGACACTCTTGTCCAGGAGCGAGAGAACCGAAACAAAATCGACAAAGAACGCAAAGGAATGGAGCAAGAAATTGCCAACCTGAGCGGCCACAAAGAGTTCTGTGAGATCAACGCCAACGACCTCGAAGAAGCCTACGAAGACATCAAGGCCAGCCACACCGAGATTGAGAGCCGCATGGAGAAACTCAAGTACAACTTCGAGGCGGTGGTCTACATGCTGCAGGGGCAAGTGGAAGTAGCACAGGCACCGGTGGCAACAGACTACAAGGACGCAATACTGGTCAATACAGGCGTTATCGAGGACGAAAACAAGAAAGTGGTTCAAGAAGGAAACACTAATGTCAAATAAACTAGAAGAGATTACAAAATTCAAGAGAAAACTGAACCATGAAACTTGGAAGAATGATAAACTTAAACTCGAGATTAAAGACTTGTTGGAAAGAGCAATTGATGTCCAGCTATACAAGGTCACCAAAGACACCCAAGAAATTATCAAAGGAAACCATAGAACCAAGGATGAGGACGAGAAGAAGAGGCTTGAAGACCAAATCAACAATCTTCAGGAAAATGCTGGCGCAAGGATAGAAGTGATCAACAAGAAAAAGAAGAAACTGAGAAAGGAGATTAACGAAAAGAGGAAAGAAAACAATGAACTCGAGACGAGAGCAAGAGACCTCCAGACGAATGTTGACCAGAGAAATTTGATTATCGACTTACGTTCCAAAGGTAACAACACGTCTGGGTTAAATTGCTGTTTTCCATTTGGAATCTCCTCTTGTTATATACTCAAGAGTGCACCCTATAATTTCTCATTTTGGGATACTTCATTTGAAGTAATTGTAGCTAGCTAAAAGTAGTTCGATTACCATGCATATTATCAATAAATCCCCTTTCATGATAATACTTGGTATAATTGTAGATATTGGCCCATTAAAGACTACTTAAGCACTGATGCTTACAAGCTCTTATGCTAATATATTTGGCAGCATATCCTCTCACGCATATAAGCTTCTATTTAAGTCTGTTTTCTTTGCTCTTAATAAATCTATATTCTTTATAAATTAAATGGGGTTTAAATCGTTCATCCTGATGTACCTTAAGATGACATTATTGTGCTAACCTTCTGTGGCCATTATTATTTAGTACATTTTGACCAAAACAAAATTTGAAATTCTAGCAGGAGCATGATTAGATTTTTTTAATTAGTTCATGCTCTTGCTGTATATTAATTAAATAACCCTAGCTATTTACTAATTTATTCCTTGTGAGAGGCATTAAAATAGCTATGTAACATTACGGTTTTAGGTCCAAGTGGAGGAGGAGATGACAGACTCCAAGACCCCATCAAGAGATTCAAAGAAGTTGCTACCGTCAGAAAATACAAAGAGATTGTGGACCAACAGAAGGAGGAAATTGAATTCTTGGAGGACGAACTTGAAAGATTCAGATCAAGAACATTCCCATCCTTCGCCAACATGCATGCCAGACAAGACTATGCCGATTAGAGGCGCACTTTGGCTTTATCAACATTGCCCAAACCTTTCAATCTTGGCGGCTTCACTGGGGTTTTGGGGTTTTGGGGTTTTGGGGTTTTGGGG